CGAATTCAACTGATATATTCACTTTCACTTTCTCAATCGATTTTGGAATGCTTTATGAAGGCTGGCTGCTTTTCTGTTCTCCTATATGACAGTTGTAGAATTCATTAGTTAGAAGCTAAGAGAGTTCCTTCCCACAGATATCAGAAACTAGTTAAAAGGTAACAGAAGCATGCGTAACATATTGGCTTGCACATAACACGCAATAATACAACTAAATAAGTTAGCAGCAATAAAAAAAATTTTGTTCTCAGTGTCCTATTTTATGTTCGATTGAGAGGACAATGAGATGGAACTTCCTTTGGTATTATTCAGCGGCGAAATGACAAATGACAGCTTGCGTTGGTTGAGGAATGAGAAGGAAAAAGATACAGTAGTGCCTATCTTGCATATCCTTCCCTCCACTCCCATCTACGCCGTAATTTCTTCTTTGATACGAAAGAAATTGAAGGTTTTCTTCAATACCCTGTATCACTGTCCGTCCATCTTTTTGTCTCGTTGTCCATTTGTTCTCTTATCTGTTTTCTAGCCTATAAAGATACAACTCGAACTGTCATTTTCATCAATCTTTTGTAATACATTGGAAAGTTCTATTCGAATTGTTGATCATGAAGAACTTTATTTTATAACAAACATTATTCTCACTTAATCTATTTGCTTAATTAGGAATAAAGTTACACAGTAAAAATCATTCCAAAATGTCATACTTCAGATTCTAATCCCTCCGACGATTCAACAATTACAATAATCGTGATTATAATCAGTATAGTAGGAATGTTAACAAATGAATATTAGTAAATCGCAGGTATCACTTCTCTATTGAAGTAATAAGGAATATCAAAACTTGACAAGAAACTTCCGATAAAAACATTCATTTTTCTTTTTTGTACATTACTCTTCCAATCTTTCTGTTCTCGTTGGTTTTATTCAAAATTTTGAAAAGAAATCGAAATTATTAGAGGCTGAAATTATCGGTTCAAATTAACTGATGAAACCATTTATTATTCGTAATTTGCGAAAATTCACAAAGTTCATATTTCCGACAGTAGAAGGTGCTAAGATTATAAGGAAAACTGAGAAAAAAGGGTGAAGGACGAATAGATGGCCTTAAAATGTCAATGATGGTGGCATCAAATAGAATTTCTCTAGCAGTATCAAGTGATTATTAAATTTACTGAAATTCATCGATTGATTGATATTCCTCACTGTTTTTAATTGCTCGTTATTGAAAACAAAATTGGAATATCGATCCTTTGGATAAGATGTAGTCTTATTTCGACAAGAAAATAAAACTAATGGATAATAAAGTTATGAGATAACTGATGTAGTTGGTAAAGCTTATATTCCTCATTTAAGAAATGCCATGGAAGGAGGAATAGGAAAGAGAGCGGCAAGGAGAAAAGATAGATTTTGAAAGATCAATCTATTGAACTATCCTTTGGAAAGTAGTACCAGCATTGTTTCAGTTGAAAGTATAATTTGAAGTCACTTCTGAGTGGACTTTAAGACTTTTTTCTAAGGGGACTTTAGGGAAGTGTTGCAGTATACTATCCATTTTGGCAACTTGTTCTTGGATTTTTTAACTTCTAGCTAGTAATTAATTAAAATATGAATCCTTAAGTATAAAAAATTTTTATAAGCTTGATGGACCCATCAATTTTAAATTTCACGTATTTCAATTGAGGTCAGTAATTGATAACACTATTTTAAAGTGAAATGTTTGAAGGCAACATTTTTGTCTTTTACATTTTTATTGAAATTGTCCTTCAATGTCATAGGACGCTTCATGAAGCTAAGCGTCACTGCCCGAATTGATCGCCTCATGTAATTTATCTCACCTTCAATCGTATATGTCTCCTATATATACCTAGGCAAGTGACACTCTTCTAATGGCAGTGTGAAACCGTTATGTTCGTCACTTATTCCTTTCCGTAATATGTAGAAGTTTGATGCTAATTAACTGAGTCAGCAAGCTATTAGCAGCAATATAAGGCAAATGTAACCAACAGCTTATCATCGTTCATTTGTCTTCAAATTCAAAACTTTTCTACGCCAAGCTTACTTTCAACCGGAATAAGCGAAGAACTATATCATTTCCGAGATTCGTATGAATCTACGTTTCCGGGATCGCCATCATTAGGATTAATCCATTTTGTTGATGACTTCGACTTGCAAATATTTCAATCCTTAGAGATGCTTTTATGGGGGAATTCGAACTAATTGAAGCAAAATGGAAGCAGGAAAAAAAGAATCAGTGGGAAGATAAAAGAGAAAGGAGCGCCTAATAGATAATATAGAGAACTATTTGAACCTTTATTCAATATTATAGGCAAATGAATATAGTATTACAAGAGTTGATTTCCTGAAACTCTCTTCTTTCTTAATTTCATATGACTAAGACTATCAGGTCAAATTTATCACAGAGTGACTTCGTTCCAACAAGCGGAAGTTTCATTTCCTGATTATTCAGTAAATTCAGTGAATAGAATATAAATTGCCTGCAGCATACTTATACCCCTTACTATTGCTATCTCTTTCAATCGCTATGTAGCTTTTTTTTTCCGTTTTCTCAGATCGCCGTATGAAGAATGTTGAAAAGTGATAATCCATCAACGTTTATGATATGTAAGGATGATAATCGTATGTATACATTTCTTTAAATTATTTTCCTCAAAAATACCTGTTGGTAATTCACTCTTTTTCTTTCGAAAGAAAAAAACTTTTCATAGCAATCATTTCGAATAGAATTTCGGTTATGATATTAAAAAATGAGCAATAAAAGAATGAACGATGGCGATCAGATTGAGATAACGGCAGCAGCAGCAGCCAGCAGCAGCAGAAGCAACAGCACTTATCGCAATTTATCACTAATCTACGATTACTACTTATCCACGAACTCCTTTCTCTTTGTAGTGTTTATGTTAACACAACAGTTCGAGTTTATTAGCAAAAGCGATAAGGTGATAAATGACGATTATTATGAACAGTTTTAATCTGTTTTCATTACTATTGTTATCAATGATTTTTTGCCAAATGAAGAATAGCAGTACCTTTGATTTTTGTCAAGCTAATTTTGATATTTCTTTTGTAATATTTTAATTCAAAATATTTGACGAAAACAAAGACTATTTATGTTCTATGATCAATAAAAGATCAATGAATTAGTAATTTTAAGCGGTTATTTTGAACTTCTTTACTCATATCTATCTTAGCTTCTCAGAAAATTCACATTAATTGTCTTACCGGAGTATTAATAGATAGATAACGCAAAATCGTAGCAGAATATATTCCTGAATCATTTCAACTAACCGAAAAATATAATTGCTAAACCTCTTATTAATGCTCTAACGAATTTTCATTACAAGAATAGCTAAGCATCTTATCTCTTAAAGGTAACATAAGGTAATCGTTTTCCCAATCACCTAATTTGATTGATTTCATTGCTACAAAAATAAAATTGAAAACAAATTTTAAGATAATTACAATATATTATTTTCTTTGCTATTTAGTTACGATAAACAAAAGAATGTTTATTTTGATTTATTTATTAAAAAAAAAAAATAAATGAAAATGATAATTTGTTGAATTTAAATTTCCCTTCTGCAAATGCTCCCAAATATTTCTTCGCAAATTTTGACTAATGAATTACAAACTTATCAAGCATTATTTTATTTCGATAATTAGTTCGCATACATTCTATTCATTCATTCATTGCTTTCTTTTTTTCTCTTTTAAATTAGAAACAATGATGTTTCAAATGTGTGAAGAACTTCTGTAGTCGATGAATTAACCATCGCCATTGCCTGAAGCTATTCTTGATAAAATCTTTCATAATATTTTTAACATGAGGCCGCCGTCCTGATTGAGGGATAGAAGAGAGAGGGAAGAAACAAAGAAAGAAATCTCATAATGTTTTTGTCTTTTATCATTCCATCCCTAAAATCATTTGAATATCATTTCATAATCATCATGCAAACAGAGTGAAATCTTCTAAAAATGTCGATATTCATTCATTTATAGGTCATTCCTCTGTCTCATCTTTATCATCACTATCACCTAAAATATATCGGTTATACGGCCTATTATCGGATATTTTGACCATCATAGTGAAGTTCCAGAAGATACGATCAAAATATTCGGTGTCACTTCACTGGACCCAACAGAGCCTTGCTAAAACACTTTTCTGACAAGGAAACGTTTTGAGAATAAGAGATTAGATTGGAAAAGAGTAAGAAATCGAGCAGGCGTAGAGACAAGAGAGCAATTATCATTGATATAATACGTGTATGATTTCTCCGCTAGGCTTATCAGATATTTTAGGCTGATATTTCAAAATTTTTATCCCTACTACAAACATAAATAATACCTGAAATTAATAATCCATCACCCTTAATTCATTCTTTGTTTCGACTAAAAGTAGTGGAATGCGGTCTATGCTGATATTCCACATGAGTTATCGAACACGATTGCTAAATATCACAAATGTTTACGACTAATTTAGTTGTTATAATTTATGATTCGATAATGTCGGAGAGAAAATATGCTAACTAATTAGCAGTGATAAATAGTTTAATTATTCAAAAAGACATGCAAATTATATGCTTGCATTGCTTTTTTGAAGTTAAAAGTTTCCATTTTTTAAAAAAAAATTTTTAGGCCAATCTACCTGCAAAATTGATTAACAATTTATGTTTATGATTGTTTTTCTTTTTTTTTTTTAATATCACAGATAGTTGACAAGAAAATTTTTCAAAAATTAAGAAAGTATACATCATTGTATGAGAGCTATTCAAATGATTCACCAATTCATCCTATATGGATAATGAAAGTAACAATTATATAGAATGTTGTCATCTGTCGATATGCCAACCGTTTTCCAACTTCATCCATTCCTCATTTCTTGTTTGTAACATATTTTTACTCTAAATATAACATTGTTTGCACAAGTTTGTAAAATTTCATTTCAGAATTTTGCGGGTAAAAACAATAAATCCGATCAGAAAATGAGATGGAAAAGTTCTATTGCTGTATATCCTCGACTAATTTTTCTTTCGCTACTATTTCTGGCCTTCTTTTTCTGGATTCCAAAACGAACAACTGCGATAAGATTGAATCCGGAACAAATTGCTGAACGATTACGAATTGAGGAAACGGATAAGTTGATTAAAATACAAAGAAATAGACGACAGCTGGCAACACCTAAGGAAATTTCTATTTCTGTTAGTTTATTCATTCATTATTCATTATTTATTGAAAATAGTGCAGTAATTACCACAAATTTCTTTCGAAAGTTCACATCTAATTGAGAAGATTCAGGAAGTTTAAACATCAGTTAGCATAATATCCTCTTTATTTCCTCTCAATCCGCTTCCGTAACTGAAGCATTTTTCCGGAATACTTGATACTATTTATAATTTTTCTCTTAATTTAATAGTGTAATTGTTCATTTTTTCCTCTTTTCATACAATAAAAATTCCTGTTAGTTTTGAAAGAAATTGCGCAATTTATCTCTTTGTCATATGATAACAGTTGACAGAGGAAGCGATAGGAAGAAATTGGAGACACAATTTCCTTCTGGTAAAGGAATATTCTTACAGTATCATTTTCGAAGGGATAGTAAAGATACAGTAAGGATCATTTTACACAGTAATATAAGAGATGAATAAAAATGATTAAACATTTTTAAATAGTTCATATCTAATGGAGAAGATTTTTGAATTGCGTAAGATTTTCTGAAGATTTATTTAGAGAGGTATCACAGATTTCTGTGACACTTTTGTGATTTTTATCAGCTTATCATCAGAGATACGTTTAATATGCAGTGCTAAGCGGAGAAGTATTAGGAAGATACTTTTGATGCTTTGTTTCAAAGGTGAATTGTAGCCGGCGGAAACAGAAAAGTGATCTGAGGGATAAAGCATCGTTCAATCATTCGTTGGTAACAATGTTTATGAGCAAATTTAAGCATTGTCAATTTAAATAATGGATGATTGTATGTATTTTCGGAGGATATTCCAATTCCGATCACATTTTATTTGCATAAATTGCAAAAAGCAGTCTTGAATGACCTCGCTTATTTCTGAATGGATAGCAGTAGCCTATATTATTTTTACTTTGACAAACACTGAAGGGAAGGGGAAAAGGTCATTCAGATATTCTATCATATTTGATGAAATTCTTACGTGATGCTAATTAATTGATGCTTTTTTCATGAAAATATTTCCTTATTTTTATGTTTTAGAAAAAATAAGCACTACTTTTAAATAAAAATTTTCTAATAAATTTTTGAATTTTTTTTAATTTTTTAAATTCTAAATTAATTTTATCGATTTTGCAAATTAAATTATTCTAGTAATTAATCAGAATTTAATCTTTTAGCAAATTTCAAATTTTCGACTTGATTTCAGCATAGTTCATCACGCATTATTTGGTGACCCATTTCTCTGAATAAAATTGCTTCTGTAAGAGTATGACGAAAACTCCCATCAGTTTATCAAAAAAGATAAGGTTAACATCGCATCTTCGTACTTTGTTCACAGAAATAGAATTAAAATTTGTAATAATATCTGACATGTCAGTTTTTGACATGATATTATCGTCGCTTGTGTCCTTAAAAACTGTGGATTGAGCTGTTGGAAGCTGACTGTTGGAGTTATATCTGTTAAGTGCAACCATTTGTCAGCCAGAAACTTGCTAATAATTTCAGTACAGTTATCATTATTTATTAAAAACAGTTGTCAATAAATAATTATCCAAAATTAATTTTGTGCATTTTCTTACAGCTTCAAAAGGTACATTGCTGCGTTATTTGGGAGAATAAATAGGACGAATAAATTGATTTCAAGAGAGTAGATAGAACGAATAAATAATTTCAACGGGAATAGATAGAACGAATGATTTCAAGAAAATAGATAGGACGAAAAAAAAAATTAATGATTCCTTTAGACGAATTGAAAAACTAATTTAAAAGGTGCAGATGTAAGTCAGGAAGAGATTGATTGATTAGCTTATCATTTTGCATTATTGATTTTCAAGATATTTTATTACCTCCTGAAATATAGCATTTTCACTTCCTTATTATAATTGTTGATCCATTGGGAAAAAAAATGATAATAGATAAGACTGCTGGAAGATATCGTTTTGAAATGCATGAATTGAATTAAGTTAAATGCATTTTTACTCTCTTCAATTATCCATCTATTATTGTTACTTTTTGAGAGTACCACAATAACCAGTTCCATCTACTTGTTCCTATCATATCTACAGATAATTTAATTCTTATGTATGATTTTGGTAGTCATTGTTGTTAGCGGAAAGAGAGATAACCAGTTTCAAAGTACTATCACGAAAAGTACCGTTAGAAAGTTTGAGAATGTAAAACACTTGATAGATGATTCCATCTATAAATTATATTTAGTTGAATTTGAATGCTTATATTTAAATTTGCTTTTACAGTTATACCGGTTTTAATGACCGGTATAACTGAAAGCAAAATCATAAAAGCAAATTCACCTTCCATGAAAAACGAGAAAGACTGATACTTGTAACGACGATAGCGTAATATTAAATTTAAATGACTAATACGGAGCATCCCAAATCCAATTTCGTATTCTTTCATTGCTAAATTTCTCTTACAGTGAAATAAGTGAGTAAATCAAATAGGTAGGAAGTTATTTAATTTATGTTAATCGATAAATTATCGTAGTCTACTGACAGCTCTTTTCGTTCCATTCATCTGTGACAACTAGAAATTACGTGTTCCATCTTATTATGAGATGTCACCGAACGCATTACACGTCCATTCAAGAATTGAGTAACATAATTAATTTTAGTGAAATTTTCTATTTGTTTTCTGATTTAGGTGCGATAATTCAATATTATGCTTGTTTGTTTGAAGTGATTAGAATATATATGAATTTTATATGACTTGTCAAGTCAACGAATCCTATTTGTCAAATGATATTATTACTAATCAGGCTTGCAACGTGAAGGATATAAAACAAACGATATAACGATATAAAACAAACCTTCATCAGTATAATACGCAAGAAACCCTTCAGCCAATCGTATCTGCACTGAATTTAATAAATTTCATTACAAATAGATGAATATTATTTAAATCTTCTCTATGACTTGCTTTGTATAAAACATCGACTGAGTAGAAAAATGTATAAATAAAGATTGCTTTCAATTAACGTTGAGTTCCCATGAAGCACATTTGAAATGGTATCGGTCATTCCTTAGAGGTGTATATTTCACAATAAGTTCAAGAATGAAATGGTTTCAATAGTTTCAGATGAAGTAATTCATATGCATAATTCATTTTGAATCTCTTATAGCAGTATACAAAAGCTAAAATTTAACGCTAATGCTTTAAGAGTAAATTTTGAAAAAATTCATTATTTGAAGAATCCTTTCTGCGTTATATAAAAGTTTATATATCGTAGTTTCTTCGAAGGTGAAAGGTCACTTAGGCAAATATTCTCAAAGTCATAGGAAGTTATTATTCTTACTATATCCGTGAATACTTCCATAGCATATTTGACTATATCACTCTGCAATGTAATCTTTGAATCATTCATAATTTAAAAATAGCCATTCTGTTTGGTCACTCGATGTCACATTAAATATTTCCAGACATACAACACATACAACCAGACATGAACACAATTCTTTGTGATTATGTATCCGTTTAGTCCAAAATGACTGTTTTTTTTGTATTATCCGGCAATATTACTTGGGTAAAGAATACTTCAGTCATATATATCTTACTGGCAAAGTTATTTATATGGAAGAATTTCTGGAAGAGAATTTTCCCTTCACTCTTTCGATATTTCTAAATTTCATTGCAATGAGATTTTTGATTATTAGAATTCGTCAGTTTGCGATTTATTGTGCTTTAAAATACATATGAATGAGAAAATGGTAATCTGAGTGATTTTAATGTATAGTTGAAATTGATGTGTCTATGATAGAGTGACAAATTAATTGTTTTAGATTACTGCGCCTCTGTTTTCCAGTCGATTGTTTGAATATGGCCCAGATGCTGGAGACCAGGAGTTACCGCGAAATTTAGATGTTGAAAAAAAGATCAGTCTAATTTATCCGTTACGATTTTATGGTGTGGATACATCAATTGTATATGTAAGTTGTTACATTAAAAAAGCTTTGTAGAACTGATGGATATAATTTTAGAGGTTTGATAGAACTATACAGCAATTATCTCAAATTTTTGTACTAATCGTAATGTCGTATATGTTCTATCCTCGTCGTGTATGTTCTATCCTCGTCGTATATGTTCTATCCTGGTACAGTATTCAAGTAGTCAATTTAGATGCTCTCTTGTGAGGTATCATACTTCTTGATGAACTTATTAACATGACAAACATAGCAATCAGATTAATTAGAAATTTGAAGTAAATATACTTAGATATTGAGTAATGGAGGTATTACCATCGAGTCGAATATGCGAACCTATCGGCAAAATATTTTACCAAGTGATTTAAAATTGATAGCAATATTTTGGAATCGAAATGACTTGCGGAACGGCGGAAGTGTTTATTTTCGAGAAGTAGCAGGTACAATTTGCTTCATACGTGTCGTCTTCATTTCTTTTTATTTTATTCTGTTTTAAAATTTCAGCTGAAAGAAAACCATAGAAATTTAAATACATAATTTGTTAGATCTATCAGCATACATATCCAATATTGGCTCTAATAAAGGAGTTTAAAGGTATCCTAATTAAAAGTGTGCTAGTATCAGTGAATTAATGAAATTATATTTCATCTATATTTTTCAGTATGACATTCCGGAGATCAAAACTGACATAAAACTTTAGGCAAAAATAAGAAGCATAAAATAAGTTTGATAATTATGCTATGGATATATTTTCAGCTAAAGTGGAAATCTTAGTTTGCTTTCTTGATTAAGCGTAAGAGCATAATTTCGGTAATCAATATTACAAAAGAAAACTTAACTTTTAGCGGGACGTATTCTGGAGCGTGGACAAAGTGAAATCCGTTACCAGTACGATGAAGTAGTGAAAGTGAAAACATGTTTACTGGTTACCTGGGACAAAATGCAACCAGTCGGCGCAGCGCCTCTGCCTGAAGATGTTCGTTTATATAATAAATAACGATTAATTATTGCTTATTAAATATTGGCATCCAAATTATCAGTTGTTTACAGATGCAAATGCATGAAATCGAATTTGAAATTATCAAAAATAGCAGTCTTATTAAAGTTTGTTGACAAATAAGTTATTTTATTGCAGAATACGAACACTTTCCAAATGGCACTTTTTATTACTGATAATGGCACATTTGCTAATTTCATTTACAAAAATATCGGTTGGACACAGGGAGCTGAGGTTTGCATGCTTTTTTTCCAAGTAGAAAATTGCGGTTAGTGAACACTTCCTGGCAAAAATTTTGAATATGAAAAAGTTAATCGTTTCAAATTTGTTAATTGCAGACCACTTCAGAAATTTTTAAGAATTTCAAAAATGTTAGAATTCAGAAATATTTTATGTAAGTTCTTTGGAAATAAAAGAAGATCCATTTGGTAGTTTCAGCAGTGTAAAATGAGCTAAAAATATGATGAAAATAGAACGATTTCTAAGAGATAAAATGAAATATTCAGGATTTTCAAATTTTTATTGCAGGCAGGTTTTAACAAGGGCGATATGAGAGAATTTTTTGCACTCCCAACCTCTGGCACTGGTAATATCATGTATCTAGAAGAATACGGTAATACAGGAATTCCTGGTGAATGGATGTTCAAGCTTGGCGACAGAAGTGTGGAACGATGCAAATCTGGCATCAAAGGAGATACCTGCGACGAAGGTCACTTTCTTGTCTTATCGTTGTGTCTTATCCTTTAAAAATATCACACCAATCAATAATTGAGCTATTACCAGAATTTAAAATAATATCGTCATGAAAATGAAAATTATAGAATGCTCGACTGGTGAATGGGGTCCAGATTGTACATTATGTTGCCATTGTGCCAGCGGTACTTGTAGTGGAACCACTGGTGAATGTGTTGGTGGCAAATGTTCTGATTGCTGGACGGGGTTGCCAGCTTGTCAGGAAAGTAAGCCTTTCAATCATATTTTGCATATCCTATTTTTGAAACAATGGAACTATTTCGACACTTTTATGCATTTATTGTTGCTTTCCTACAATTTCTTACCGCCGCCAACTGGTTGAGCTCTCAGTAGGACCAAAGTAAGCAAAACAGCAAACAAGTTTCTTAAGCTGTACTGACATTTATTATTTCATTGCTAACGCTCGTAAAAGATTCCGTCTAACATCTCTCACAAAGTTAAAATCCATGGATAAATTGAGATTCCCAAACATTCACCTAATCTGAAATATCTGGTGTATTGCGAAAGCGTTTTATAGTATCAATAATAGTAATCCTCCTCCTCTTTTCTCACTCTCTTTTGACTTAATCGACTTTTTTTTACTTTACTTGGTTAAAAAATGTCTTAGTAACTGTTATGTTCAACCGAATGATTCAAGCTGTAGGTCTAAAATCATGAAACCTATGATATCACCAAACTTCAGTGTCTAAATTTGATCCGAAACTTTCATATGAAATATTATTGTTTGCAAATGTGAGTAATTTGAAGAGAAAGAAGAATGCGAAGCTGTGATGCAAGAACAGTGTGCCCACAATGCCATATCATATACGGATTATGATCGTTGTGGTGAACCGATCCAACGATGTCAGTGCTTGAAAGGGTTCAAAGGTGACGGATATACCATATGTGATGGTTTGTTTCCAAAACATTCACAAGTGGCCAAAAAAAAAAGATTTTATCAGTTTACTGATTGCATACTCATAAAGAACATATTGCTTCAAACTTCAAAAATAATAAACGATTGAATGATAGAAATGGAACTAAAAAATTTCAATGTTGCAAACTTTTTATAATTACTGAAGAGTTAACAGTAATCAATAGAAGTAAATGAATGAGTGCTATCGAGTTCATTCGTTCCACAAATTTCCGTCATTCTAATTAACCGGCAAATTTATTTATGTTAAATATTTGCTCATCAAAACTGCAATGTCATACGCAAGGAGAGAATTGTTTAGTTTATAAATTTATACACTATTTGATGAACAGATAAAGCTTGTAATCTCGTTCGAGCAAAATACTAATAAATTAATTTAATTAACAATTGAATGAAGAATTAGTTTCCTGTTTGTATGATATATCTTTCATTGTAATGCTATGATTTGCAATTGGCATGCCATATCTTGCAGATATCGATGAATGCTTGCAACCAGGTATGTGTCACGAAAATGCAATTTGTGGCAATACCCCGGGACATTACTTCTGCACATGTGCGGATGGATTCATCGGTGATGGAGTGAATGAATGTACAAGTTCGTTGCTATACTCATATAGAGGACATCAGGAATTACCTAAAGATAGGAACGCTCGGGTGGTGCTACAGCTCAAACAACCACTTCAAATATTTGGCAAGAAGTTAGACAAATTAATGGTTAGTTGCCATTTTAACACGCAATAGTAATATATAATTGAATGCTTCATGTTAGTGAAACCTGAGTGCGGTAAGCTATTGAAGGTTCGTTCAAGTATTTTGACTTCAGATGAACTGAGATTAAAAATGCTTGAAGTTTAAACTTCCACATTATTATTTGTTGTTCACGTTCACTTCTCCTATAGGAAAGATCATCTCAGTTAAACGACACATAAAACAATCGAAAGCGTTAACTGTTACTTTACTCGACTTGGTTGAATTCGTCTTGGATCTTTTGTCGATGATCTCATAGCGATGCTGTCAATAGTACTTTCTGCTTTTGAGTCGCTTCTGAGCTGACAACCATCAGCCATCTCTCCTTCCGTGCTATTTTCCCAGTTCACGTCAATGACGTAAACTGCGGAAATTACCATATTTGCACGATGTACACAGAATTGATTTGTAGCCACGCAACACTTTCCCTCTTCTCCTTGTAAATGTGAAATTGACAATTAGCGGTGGGCGGAATCGTTGTAATCTGTTCATGTATACCATTTAATCCGGAAACTTAAACGAAACGCGTTGGCATAAGTGTCGTTTATAACTCTTTAACCAAAAACATAGTCGATGGTTCTTCACTTTTATAGTGAATCAGTTTAAAAATTGTGAGTGACAGTTTTTACAGATTTCAACGTTAGGAATAATATCTGTAGAAGACAGCTCGAAAATTAACGCAGGTGATCATCTCGCTTCCTCTGGAATACACGGTATAGCGCCCTTCTTTGCTAATATTGACATCCGAAAAGGTGGTCAAATATTTGTGGACGAGACTGATGGTAAGTATACTGTACTATCCTAATAGGACGGTGCGTAATTTTTATCTTCATGATTCATTCTTTTTCATTCTCTTTCTGTTATTTTATCCTTCTTATTTATTCTCAATTTCATTATTTCCTGCTCATAATCTTCTAACTTTACTCTTCCCCATTTCTCCTATTAGTTTTATTGCTTTCAACTTTCCCATCGTTCACTTCTTCAAATTTTATGAGTAATGAAATTAATGAAAGTAGCGAAAATAAATAGATGAAGAGAATAGCAAAACTGAATGTTAGTATATAATATCTCAAGAAATCTCGTGTTTGCAGATCCAAAAGTGCTTTCAAGAGCCACGAAGACAGTTGCAAGCAATATAAATGACAAAAAATTCCAGGCCAAAACTGTTGTGTTGGTTACTTACGTCAATGTTACCGATGCTGATCGAACGGTTCCTTTTCTGAATATGTATAAGTTTCATCCTCAAATTGAGCTAATATTAACTTTTCATTTGAAATCTAAAAAAAATAGAACTTAAAATTGTAGAGTCCAGGCAGTACGTTCCAAACATTAATTATTGGCGGAACAAACAAACAACACCAAAATGAAACATATGCACAAATGTTGTATAAAGACTTACCTTGGAGCGATGGAGCTGAGGTATGGTACCACTGAAATCAAAATTTATTAAATCCAAGATTTTGCGACTATCAACTAATTAATTGCAAATTAATCAAAACAGAGAAACGGCTTACATTCTTTCAAGCAGGTGACCATGCCATAATCAAGAGACTGTATAAATGTTGAAATTTTAGGCTAGCATTTTGACGTACGGTTCAAAAAACCCATTAATGTTACCTGGATCGGGTACCAATGAAATAGTGCATTTGAGTAAGAGTAGCAATATTGGAAAACCAGGTCAGTGGTTGTATCGAATTGATTCCAACAACGTACAGATGTGCCTTCAACCAAATCTTCAACCTCCATATTGTGAAGAGTACAAGATCACGGATGATTCGATATCTGTCACTTCACCAAATTGTAATTGACTTTAGATTTCAACATCATAATGGTACCAAATGTATTAATACACTTAATTCTGAATTTTGTCACTAGTTAGATTTGCTATAAGTAGTTTTAAAATTCAGACAATTGAAGATTTGTGTTTATTTTGGATTTATTATATTGTTTGTGGCAGTTGAAATCATTGCCTATAACAATCATAAAAAAATTTGCAGTAGGAGAGACAGAAATATCAGAGCAAACTCATCGTTCTTCTGTCCCGGAATTGGATAAGTTGACCGATGAACTTGTCGAGATTCCCGGACCTCAAATAATTCATCCGGTACTTATCGAGCCACCACCTTCATCTCACATTCAATCTGCAGTAGAAATGGAACTTGGCGAGCACAGTTCTGGAAGTGTTAGGGATGAAGAAGAATGGACGAAGAACCCAATAACACCACACATGTTAGTTGAAAATTATATTTTGACTGTCGTGCTGTAGCGCACCTGATCATTTTGACAGATTTTACAAATTTCAGACCACTCATTTCACTGGATCGTCATGATATCGAAGATTTACCACCAGACGCCTTCGAGGTCACATTCCCACCCTTTATCACCGTTATACCACGACTGTTTACCAGTGTTGATAATACAGAGAGAGGATTACCATCAATTCACCCAGTGGTGGTGGTTTTTTCGACCATTTTTTTGATTTAAACTTATTTAATATTATATTTTTTAATCCAGTTAATCGTTTTACAGCACTTGCATAAATTTCATTTCATTTCAAAATTCTTGAAAATTCATCTATTTTTTCAAAAGCAAACGTTAAAGGCATTGTGCCATAACTACAAATAGAAATATAAGTTAAAATGATTTTCGAAATTTCTAATTTAGGGAAATGGAACACAAGCTAGACAACCAGAAACTTTTGAGATTCCACCAACGGTATTGTCAACTAATTCTGTTGTTGATACTAGTCGACCTGAAGTGCTTCCGGAAACTTCTAAACTACCTCCAGTATCATCAACGCAATCTGTAGAGGGTATTAGGCCTCTGCAGAAAGTTAAACCGGAAGAAATTAATTTTGACAAAGATGAACAAATAATCAATCTTTTTCGACCTGATGACGATTCTGTTGATAATAGACTTGAACCAGATAAAGAAAACGGACCTTCTGAGGTTATTTATCTAGTTTCTATAAAATTACGACTTATCAGAACTCATTCGTTTATTTTAATCATATTGACTATAATATCTGCACTTCTTCAGAAGTCAATATCAACAGATTCGCCAATGCAAAGCTTGTCTCCGGAAGATGAAAGAGATTATATGACACTGAGCACTACCAATAAACCACTCTTCATTTTTACTACATTACCAAAAGTATGTATCGCAACATTTTCCCCAAACAGACGGTTCTTTCCTCAAAAACATTCCCTGAAGCTTTGCCATGCCATTTCTTATTCAGTCCACTATATGTTCCTTCAAAATGGAAATTAAAACTGAAACTAATGAATATTTAGAAAAGGCCTATGCCGACAAAACCAAAATTGGTACCAGCGCACGGTACAGCTTTTACAACACCATATGGTCCATACGACGTTCGAAACGAAGTCAAGATTGAAGCATCCAGCAGCAGTTAGTTCTCTTTTTTTCTGTTTCAGCGTTTTTGGCACTGCTTACAAATAATACTGTAGTTTATTCATTTATTTTATTACGATTTGAGACATAGTTGTGTCTTAGTTTTTCATAGTTCTGTTGTTTTTAGATCTCGCCGTTATTATTCCGACAGCGATCATTGCAGTATGGCTATTATTACTTGCAGTTATAGCATTGTTTTGCTGCTGTCGAAGGAAGTAAGTCTTTTCATTGCCCTTAAAAAAGAATTAACAATGGGTAAAGTTAGTATGAAATTGAAATTTAAAGCATCGTTGGTAGTTGTATTGTAGGCGAGCGGAACGTCACTTCAGGGACATGTACTTCCCAAATCATCAGCAAATTCATCCTATTACCACGACGTTTGCGATGCGAAAGGATTCGAAGCATTTCGATGGATCTTACGAAGACCATCCGGATAAAGCAGCACGGCTTAGCTCCGAGCTCAGTTCATACAATCAGGTCGTTTAAATTCTGAAGTTTTTGAAGTTTTTGAAACATTTTAGAAATCTTAGGAATGACCTCATCCTATTCTTAAAAGCACATATCATTGATTATTTCACTTTTAGAACGGTCGTGTATCCTTATATGGCTCCTATTGGAACCTAGCAAGCAATGCTTCTAATAGTTCAGCAAACGGTTTGCCTACTGGCAGTAGGCAAAATCCATTTTCACAGTACAGTGCGCAACAGGTATTTCTGAATTGATATTAGTCAATTGAAGTTATCAAATACGTAATATTATTTCCTCGTGATCTGACATTTCAGCGATATATTTATGGCTCTCGATACTGATTAATTATGGATATAAATTGGAGAGTGCCATCGCAATCATATACTTATCCTAGCATACTTAACTCTCGACAGTCTCGATATGATCAGTGTTGTTAGCCTGATGAGTATGGTAGTGCAGTAAATGCAACATTGCTCAAAATCTCTCTTCAAGCCTCTCGACTAGCTCAGCATTGCAATATAGTGTGAAAATGCGTCGTAAAAGTTCCTATTTTTCATCTTAATTTTTCTCATTTTGTGCTAGAAGTTGTTATTTTGTCTGCCTATTTGGTCTTATTTTCCGGAAATCAGGGCATTAATTCCGGAACGCTAGTCATCCATGCAAATAAGCAACTAAAGTGATTAATATTTATTTCTCAACCTAAGAAATTCTTAATTATAGATCATTTGCACAATTTCAATTTCCACATTATATGTCTTCGTGTTTTATGCTCAATAAGATGTAATGATTTATATGGAGGTGTTGTTTTATGCACCTTTATCTGAATATTCGATAACTTGAGTTTGAGCGCTTAATAATTAATTTTTTATTGGTCACCAATTTTTATTTCATTGCTTACAATGATGTGTTCTTGGGTTTTCTATGTAACTTTTATGTGAAAACTCAATTATGTATGAATATTCAACATTCTATGTTTAAGTAGTCAACGAGTTCTTTTGGGAACTCAGTATATTTCATTTAATTCTCAGTGATTTTCTCATACCATTTGAGCACTTGACAACTGCCGCATTTCGTTTAATAATAATGATGATAATAATAATCATATCACTTAGCCATTCTTCTCATTTAGTAGGAAATAATAATAATACATTATAGAATAGTGAAAAATTTTCCAGGGTATTGAAAAAACTTTTCCCACAAAATTTTCTTTTCTCATCATTTGTACTTAGGTGATAAGTGAAGAGCACAATGATAATAGCTGTCAGCTGAAAATAGTAAAGCAGATAGGAATTAATTAGTTGATATTATTAATGAGAATTCTTCCGTACTATTATCATTCGAATTACTGTTTTCCTTGTTAATTTAAAATTGTTTTCTTTTTCGTGATCTTTCAAGAAACGGTATGAAATAAAAGATCGGAAAAAAAAACGGAATAAAAAGACGTATGATTGGAATTCATTAAAATAATTAGTAAAGTGAAGCAGTAATATAATAGAGAGTAGAAATGGATGAATGATATCATAAATGATGATAATATTTTTTTCGATGTAAAGGTATTTCTGTGTTGTTAGAGAGGTGAAAATTGAAATGTTGAATTTTTGTTGTAGAAAAAGAGAAAGGCGAAAAAAAAACGTAGTCTTATTTGTTGAAAATCAATTCTATTCATTAATAAAATTATTGAGGTAAAAAGTGGAATAATCCGGAAATGAAAGGGAATTATTTTGTGAAGCTTATGAATGATAGAATGAAGAAAATAGAAACGGTATGAAATAAAAAATCGGAAAAAAAAACGGAATAAAGAAAGGTATGATTTTGGAATTCATTAGAATAATTAGTAAAGTGAAGCAGTAATATAATAGAGAGTAGGAATGAATGAGTGAAATTATCAAGAAAAATAACTCTTTAGAAAAGATAATAAAGTAAAGAAATGAGAGAATAATGAAATAGTTTAGAAATTTAATACCTATTAGTTTAGGAATAGGTTTTAAATATGTGAGGCATTTTATCAGCAACTTAAGGATTAGTTGAAGACACATTTCTAAGTGGGATGTTTGCTTTTTTATAATAATGCATAAGTTGAATAATTGTTGAGATACTTTGCAAATTATTCCCATTTGTTCGTTAAATCAATGTTTGAAAAGCTGGCAGAAAGATACAACGCGTTCGTGACTTCCTTCTCCAAATATGCTGCGGATAATAATAGTTGTGATAATGTGATAATGTGATAATGATAATAATTGTGATAATAAACGGACAGAGTGTTTCGAAAAATGCTAGGTTAAAATCTTTATGTTTTCCAATGAGATTCATTTATTTCTATTGATTTTAATTATTTTCAGTTAATTTATGCAATAATTTTTTAATTCTATCCATTTATTATCAAAGTTGTTTGTAAAACTTTTTTTCGCTAAAATCTATCTTCATTTTTGGAAAGGAATTGAAATATAATTAGTCGTATAATAAATGAAATATAATTAGTACTATGATTTTAAGAAATTATAAATCGTATTATCATTTATATCGATCGGATAATGCTGTTAGATTCATAAAAGGTTCTTGGAAACGAAAGAAAGTTTATCAAATTTTGGAGCCAAATGTCATTTGATTGCAAAATTACCTAATGCGTATTTTTGTTGAATTGATGATATTATCAAATTTTGGAGCCAAATGTCATTTGATTGCAAAATTACCTAATGCGTATTTTTGTTGAATTGATGATATATGAGTGGCATATATCATCAATTCAACATAATTATGTAATTATATGTAGGTGTAACACTTTTTTGAAAGCTCTAAAAAGCAAAAAGGTCGAGGATGATAATACTGTTGATTAATTTTGAAGTTTGTAATCATTTCTTGGTTCCTTATACTCTAAATTGTAACTTGAGATGGAAAAAATTTATCGACCACACTTTAAAATAACGATTCATTGAGAGTACTGCAATCTTCTTGAGTGGTTGTTGAAGTATGACCAATAGAATAAAGAACAAATTATGGCATGTAAAAAATTGAGCCAAATATTCCTGCAAATTCGTTTTCACCGAAGAACTATTGTTTAACTTTCGTAGGAAATATTTATTGCCAGTCATATTAGATAATTTTGCTCATTTTATCCTTTGATTATATCGCTGATAAATCGAATCAATTAGCACTAACGAATCGATGTGTTTATGATTTGTTTAATTTGCTTAAAATATTCCTGTAATGAAATTCCATCATATTTCTGATATTATCTGATTGCTGATCACTTCTAAGCTTACTCAATTTAAACATGATTCCAATTTGAATCAATGCAGAATATTTAGATTCTTTTCTGTATCTTTTGAAATATCTTTGTATTATTTATTTTGTACTCAATTGATAAGATCAATAAAAGCAACTGAAGATGATAAACGACGATTATGGGAGTAAATTTAAACAAATAAGCCAAGCCATCGAAAAGCTTTATTGCAGTTCAGTTTCACAAGAATGGATTTCACTTAAACAATGCATTTCGTTGTAACTTCTCTGAACCGGTGAAATAATCGTAAGAGGAGTGTGGCAAGGTTGAAATGGATGGATGGATGGATGGATGGATAGATAGATAGATATTCGATCTGCCTCACTCTACCACTTCAAATCTTTGGACGAACAAACAAAATGGGCAGAGTGACACGAAGTAAATGAATTTCTCAACTTTATCAACTCTTTTTTTAAACTAAAAAAGCCGAGTATAATCATTAGATAATATAGAACAGATGTTTTCCATCTCTTCTCTCAAATCTTCTTTAGCCAAATCATCCTGATAACAGAATCCCCGGGATGAATAATTCTCGATATTCACTTTAGATGATAGCACAAAGAATACAAGAAGAGATATCAATTCTTTCTTCTTCCTTTTCTCTTTCTTTTTTTATGTCTTTTAAAACCACCCTATCGTCTCTTTGATTACTTTCAATTCTCTACATTGTCGCACTTTTATTCGTTAAACATACATTACGGCAGTTTTTTCTCTACCTGTCCATATTTTTCATACATTATATGCTGTACGAGTGTGTGCGTATGTGTGTATGCTTGCTCAGGTAAGTTGTGATATCATTAAACTGATCGATTTAACCTATCTCTACTGATAGCAAATTCAACCAGATTTTCTACCTTACAGAGTAATATATTTTTCCGTAGAATTTAGTGAAATTATTTATTTATTTTTTCCCTTACTTTTTATTATTAGACTTATAACATAGCTCTCATCATAACAAATGAAATCCATTTTAAATAATATCTTGGCTCATTTCCTAAAGCACTTTTAATGGCCTGATTTAAATCAGGCCATTATATCATAATATTATACTATCAAAAACACAAATATATGAATGCACCGTTAATGTAATTTCTTCTGAAGCAAATATTCCAAAAGAATGGATGGATTGAATTTTAATTTCTAAACGAAATCAGCAAAATTTCTCTGTTTCTTTCTTTCTCTCTTTCTGCCAGCTCATTCATTCATTCTCTATCTTTTCAATCGTTTTTTAAAAATTTAGCGATTAGTTGGAAAAGAGCAATAAATTGATGAAATATATCAAACTGAAAAGTTCTTCTTTTCTTTTCCTAAAACTCAAAAAGATGGAAATTTCTCGAATGAAAAAGAAATAATTTTACTTTTGTTTGATAATTATTATATATGTCTTTATCACTAATTATTATCATTTTCAATATATTATCAATGTTATAATCATTCGTATCATTAGCTTTCATCAATTTTTATTATAGTTAACATATTCATCGTTATATTAATATTATCATTATCATTATTGATGATATTATGAATGTATCTATTTTGCTATTGCTATCAATGATGCTGTTATCAGTTCAATGTTGATGCAATGATTAGCAAGGAAGTGATGAAATTTGAGAAATGCAATAAATAATAATGCTATTTTGCTCTTAAATTATTTTCATCATTTCGTATTATTTACTTCAGTTGTTGGCTTAGAATGATTTAATGAAACTTATCCAAACCTATCCCATCCTCATATTCTCCCATTTCTTCCAACATTCTTCTTGTAATTTAATAGCAATGTCTGATTTATGAAATTAAAAAATTTTACTATTAATCATATTGATAGTCAGCTTTCTACAAATTAATCAATATCCTATAGTTTATTATAACTCATCAGAAGTAAAATACTTCTGATGAATTTTAATAACCTATGGGATATTGATATTTTACCATATGTTATACGAAACAGTAACATTGGAGTAATCCAAATTAAAATCATTTTTTGCAAATTGCAAAAATTGTTGCATATCGGCAAACATGCAGCAGCAGCAGCAATTGAGAGAAAATGAAAAACATAGTAAT